GGCTAAGTCATAATTATGAGATAATATGTCATAATTATGAGATGGCTAAGTCATAATTATGAGACAGTATCTCATAATTATGATATAACTAAGTCATAATAATGAGATAGTAAGTCATAATCATGAGATAGTATGTCATAATTATGAGATAGTATGTCATAATTATGAGATATGTCATAATTATAAGATACAAGTTTTATTTTTTTATCAGGGTGGCGGAAATGGGCTTCCATAGAACATAAGTAATCCTCTGATTAGTTATAATAAAATAGGTTTTATGACTCCATTCATTCATTCATTCATTCATTCATTCATTCATTCATTCATTCATTCATTCATTCATTCATTCATTCATTCATTTGCCCCTACAGAAAATGGCTCATCAAAAACCACTGTTGATTCCATGGCTGCGGGATCAGATTGACAGCGGCAGGTATCCAGGTGTCCAGTGGACGAACCCAGAGCAGACAGAGTTCTCTGTTCCGTGGAAACATGCTCTGAGACAGGACTCCTCCAGTACGGATGTTCTCATCTTTAAGGTCAGCGTCACTGAGGTCCGCCTTAACAGGAATGCAGGAGCAAAGCAGTACCAGGACCTTGCTGTGCACCGTTAGGGTGTTGAAAGCACGTCTTCATGTTGTTGTAAGCAGCATGTTGCTGTCCCCCTCTTCCGTCCGTAGGCCTGGGCTCAGGTGAGCGGCAGCCAGCCTCACGGAGACCCCTCGATCTGGAAGAGAAACTTCCGCAGCGCCCTCCGAGTTAAAGGCTTCGAATTGGTGTCAGATTCCAAGAACGACGCCGCTAACCCTCATAAAGTCTTTCGCTGGCCGAAGGGGTCGGTATCAGGAGGTGAGGATTCCCCAGAATCTGTTGTTGTTCTGGGTAACAATGAAAGCAGCGACACATGAAATGCTCCTTGCAATGTATTTGAAATTTAAAAAAAACATACATCACTCAGGTTGTGTATCTTTATTATAATAACAAGGAAATGAGATTGTGACTCTGATTTTTATGCTTCAACCTGCAAATAAAATAACTGTAAAAATCTATTACAGCATAATCAAAATTTAATTTGTGTGGGTAAAAAGCAGCTTTGTTGCTATAAAAGTAATTATTAGATGTTYTTTTTTTTGTTTGTTTGTTTGTTTTGTTTTACACCAAAGCTGTCTCTGCTGCTGGATTCCAGAAGCTGGATGATGCCAGTTTTGTTGAGAACTTTGATGCACAAAATGTAAGTGTCCACACGTGTGAGCTTTATGATGTAAAAGCTGTTTAAATTACATGAATTTATTCATTTGTGTGTTTGTGATTTTCAGTTTCATGTGCCCTTCCTCGARGAAGACATCTTCATTCCACAAGGCATTGTGATTCTAGGTAAAGTGGGCCTTTCTACCTCTGATCCTAGTTTGAGTTTAATGTATTAAGAGGTACACACACTTTAAATATTTGAACTTATAGTTGTTACAGTTCTATTCATATTTTCAAACCAATTATCATTTTCCAACAGAGTACCCAGCTGGTCATGATAATCTCCAGGAGTGTCTAAATAACTTGAACATCGGTCCTGGAGCAGGTAGTTCTATCAACACTGCCGCTCTTCCTCACTTCTGCAGCTCAAGAAGAAACAAACAAACAAACAAACAAACAAACAAACAAACAAMCAAAACATTTGAGGGGACTCCCCCCCAACACACACAAACAGTTTTTCCTCATCCTCTCCAACTTTTCCACAGAGGGCACGGCAGGCTTCGAGTTCCCGTCTGAGCAGCAACAGCTGCAGGATCAGTTTGTGATTGGTGGACACCCGTTGCCTGGGCAACAGCGGGATCCAGTAACGTTTGAGGGTGCAGCCGGTGAAACTGGGTTGCCTGAGCAACCAGTGTGTCCAATGGAGGGAGCTGAGGGAGGGGGCTACCAAGACGGGCAGTACGCGGCACAGTTCCTCCAAACAGTGAACGAGACCAGAGAGGGAGATAGTTTCAGTAAGTTGGGGGAATTTACACACACACACACACACACACACACACACACACACACACACACAC